GTTCGTGGAAATAGTTATCTTCGTCTTCGATGTCGACGTACTTAAGAGCTGACCAGGCTGTTGCAATGGCTACCGAAGAAAGAAAAATCAGTATTTGAAGACGCATTATTTTGTCTTGGGATAATCAAGAGTTGTTGCTTGGTCGTTGATAAGTAAGTATGTTTTTGTTGTTATATTTTGCGATTGTTGTGTGTTGTATTCTCCGTGTTTATATATACTTATTATGTGAGATATTTTTTCTCGCTCTCCTCGTTGAATATGTGTAGGTTGATCATTCATGCGTTAATTAGTAGGTAAGGTTTGCTTTTTCTCGCTAAAGCTGACGGCCAGAAAAAGAAATAACGAGTATTGGTATATTGTCTCTTTTTATTTCTTTCTCTTTGGGGACGGTGTTGATGGTAGGTACGAGTTTATTTTTGTCTGTTCTCTTCTTCACTATTGTGCATAAACGCATTTTAGAAGGAGAATTAGAAAAAGTATGGATTGATTGTTTTTTCACTACGAAATAGATACCTGTGGAAGACATGTAAAATAGGTATCACTCTCGTTGTTGAAAGGAATCAGTATAAATGAATGAATTGAGATTTGAACTTCATAATTAATCAGAATAATACACATTTTTTGTTTTGTTTATATTACAAAAGAGAAATTTTTGACTTTAATCGGTCATTTTCAACCTGAAAACGATGACTTTGGACTCTGTATTATTAAGTTGTATATTGCTTTGTACGATAAATAAAAACGAATGAGGCGAGATTAACAATATATAAAGATATTAATTGAGAATGGAAGACCTATTGACGGTATGCGCATCAACTTCTATCCAACTCCATCACAATTTAGATCGATGGACTATGAAAACGAGAGAATAACTATGTCAATAGAATGCATAAATTTTCATCTTCTACAATGGTCAAGCAATGTTTCGGCTCAATCGAATTGTGCATCTGCTAGTAGATGAAATATAAAACTGATCATTGTTTTTACAAATTCATATCAATGATGATATTCGTGACTAAAATTCGGATTTAGAGCTGGAATGGAAAACGTTGAAAACAAGCTTCATGTTATTGGCAAAGAATAAATTTAGTAGAAAAAAGTCATTGAGGTCGACTCTAGTGATCAGATTGATTGGCTTCAAGCTTTCGTGCATTCAATCACCAGATGATGACAAAGCAAACGAATCAACTTGTTTTTTTTTATCAAATAGAAACATTCAAAAAGAAAATCAATTTCTGTTTTGTTTTGGTTTTTCGAAGACGTTTATGATTTATTTCCTTTATTACTATAATATATGAGCTTGATTGGATTTATGTAAAAGTTACGATTTTAATCAAAATTTCCAGAGTATAGCGATATTTTACAGTTTATTATTATTTATTTTTTTTATTGAATAAAACTTCGACCTTGTACAAAATCAAGCAGTTATTATCGATGAAGAACAAAATATGTAGATACCGATTCACTCTCTATACACACGTGTAGGTAGCTGGAGAACGAAAACACGACAGAAAAGAGAAAAGAGAGAGAAATCAAAATCAAATCAAATTGAGTTCGAAAAAACATTACATTAAAAGATGAGATTATTATTTAGAGAAAAAAAGAATAAACTGGCCTGACAGAACAAGACACATACACACATGTGACATCAATAGAATAAATTTAGTATTGATTTTCTTTGATATAATGTGTATTGGTGTTGGTAATGATATCTGTATTGTGTTGAGCGGTCGAAGTCATCGATCGACTTGTATATGTGCTTTTCCTTTTTCATTTCTTTTGTCTTACTCTTCTTCTTGCTGATGTTGATGTGCATCATCATCGATTAAATTTCTGTTCATACGACTTTATTATAACGCGTAACAGAACCTTTTAATTTCATATCTTTTTTTTATTTCTCAGTTGAATGGTCTTTTTTCTTTCAAACAATCAATAGATTATCAGCGATCAATTGCATAATTCATCAACAAAGACTACCCTTCAAGACAATCAATCAACGAGAATTATCCGGTGATTGCCCATTGTCATTGTGAATGTGAATTTCTTTTACACATTTTTTGCGTTCATCTTTTTTTTCTTCATTTTTTAAATATTTATTCATCATTTGTGGTAATAATAAAATTTATCTATCAAAAATATCCTCTATTATATACATTTAAATTAATTCTGAAACTGGCTTATTGCACTGTAACGAAGAGTTAAAGAAGAAACATGTGTGTGTACATTTTCATACGTATTCCTTTTGCTGTAATAGCATTCTTTTATATGAGGAAGCAGCGGTCATCGAATCCCAGCATAAGATAGAGAGATATTCTCAATACAAAATGAAGTTGTGACTCTTCACGACAGTGCTTTATTCTTTTTACATTTGTTGATTGTGAAAGATAGAAGTATTGAAGAAAAATACCTCATCTACTGCAGAAATCAGCGAAGCATGCTGAGTTTATATTTATCTTCGCAATACTCAGTGGATTATGCTCTATCGACAAAACTGACGCTCGAAACAATGTTGATCACTCGTTCATGACCGATGGAGACTAGTCATGCGAAGGGAGAGAATAGAGGGAACTTAGTATGATGATAGATAGCAAATAAAATAAAAATTGTATTAATTCAAACAATGGCTTGATTCGCGTAGCAAGTATATGATAAAATAAAGAATAATAAGTGGCTGACACATGTGCAACTTTTGTCCTATATTAATGAGAGAGAGAGACAAAATGACAAAATGACAAAATAAAGACTCATTATACACTAAGAGCAAACTTTTTGAAACCATCATAAATTATTCTACCTCATTAGTACTAAAGTAACTACGAAATTTAATACTAGTCGTTTCTACTAATGATAAAGAAACTATTGCAACAGATAAATAAAAAGAAGAATTAAATATCGTAGGACGTAAAATAAAATAAACATATGATGTTTTGATGTTTTTTCCTTGCATTATTATCATCATCAGATAGATATTGAACAATTAAATACAATAATATATAATTTAACTATTTCATCATTCATATGTAAGTTTATATTTAAAAAAAAACTAAAGCAATAATAACAATTCAACAGATTAAACAAAATAAGCAAAAATGAAGAGCGAAATATATCGAATCACAGATATTGCTAAAATAAAATATGAAAGAAAAAAAAGAGATATGTATAAACTATAGAGATCATATGGAATAGCAATTGAACTTATTATGAGATAGAGTGTATATTATTCTATTTATATTATTATTGACAAAAGAATATCGATCATATTTTCGCGTTATTCCCTCTACTGAAAGGAGGGTATTACACCGAGCAAGGTTCGTATGTTCGTAACTTCGTAAGTTCGTAACTTCGTAACTTCGTTCGTTCGCACAGAACACCAAAATGTTCGTATGAAATTCAAGATAGTGTTTACGGAATAGCCAAACAAACTTCGAAAATCTATACAAATTCTCTAAATATTTTTTTATTGAATTTAACAATTAGTGAGAAACGAACTGCCACCGACCAATATCTTCATGGAACATGATATCCAGAAATTTTTAGATAATCTGTTTTATATATAAAACCAGATAAAAAAGCTTGTTAGCGCAGCCCCTCCGGGGCTAAAATGTGGAACTCACATAGTCCATATAATCTGCAAATAATTTACTGTTAAATTTTCATGTAATTGGATATGTTCTAAAGTTGGTGACTAGTGCAATGAAGTTATAATAGGTAAATATAGTAAACAAGTGTTTGGTTGTTTATAATGATTAAAATTGATAAGAAAATATCAAATTTTCTTCCTATTATTGGGGATTATTTCTCATTGGATTAAAATTTTTATGATGTCTGTAAGAGTTTACAGTAGATAGAATGTTGATTGGTTTATGATACAGATCTTATTGTGTTTAATATCAATACTAATATTATCGTTTTTATAAAGTTATGAAGGAACATAACGTTGGACAAGTCTTGATATATAAGAAGTAATAGTTATTTGAAAAAAATTTGTGGTAAATGATAACAGTACAAATATATATTGTTCTCTTAGATATTAGAAAAAACGAATTGAGATAAAAACACAAATATATTTTGATGTCAAAAAAATTATTGTATAAATTTATCAGCTGATGTATATTAAAAATGCACAAAAATACTATGAAAGGATCTAATGAACTGTAAAGTTTAATATATTTTTTGCGAATTCATCAAATCGAAAAAATGAAGTATTACTAGCTTGTGCATATATGTATACTATTGATATGGTAACGATAGTCTATTTTGTCTGTGCTCTATTGATGTGAGAATATTTTTTAAAATTTTAACTATGGCAATTGTATACATTAAAATTGCTTTGTATGTGAGTATTAATTATATGGTTTTGCTATAGAGAAGACAAAAAGATATTCAAAATTAGTTTTGTGTGATTTTATCCAAAACGATCATTATTTTTTTTTTAGTTGAAGAATTGATCAAATCACAGTTTCTGTCCAGGATTTTGTGCATAATGATATTATTCGATATATATACTATTTATTTTTGTTTGATGTAAGTCTTTTTGTCGATACAAAACTTCTGTTACGAATGATGTTTGTGTTCATAATATAGTTAAATATATGCATCGTATTAAAAGTTCTTTTGTAGATTCAATTCAACTTTATATTAGTGAATATATATATGATGTATAAATATAATATATTTATTCAATCATATCGATATTATAGTAACTCAACAACAAATATTTAAAATACATTTAAATGAAGGATGTCTTTTTTGCAATTACTTTTTTTTGAATGAAAAATTTACATTTTTTAAATATATACTAGATGAAGTTGTTGATTATTTAATATGAAAAATCTTTTTTAATTGTATAATTTGTTATAGTATTTTTATTTAAAAAAAAATTAAATTTTAAATGAAGTAAGTAAAACAATACTAAATATATTAAGCGATGTAATTGTTAATCGAATATTTGTTTAAGCATGTTGATTAGATATACTTGTTAATGAATTTTTTTTATATATTTAAAGAGGTGTCTCATCTGAATAGAAAACTATGTTATTAGTCAAAGTTTCAGACGAAACACAATATTTAAACATACTTTTGATAGTTGATTCATTGTCAGTCGCAATTCCAATCTCACTTATTGTACCAGTCGTTTCATCATATGTAAATTGAACGATCAACGAAATGATACTACTTAAGTTATTTTCAATGTTACAATAATCATCACTTTCTAACGAAGAATCATCATTTTCATGTAACATAGGTATTAATATTGCCTTTGGAATTTGTAAATTATATTCTTCATGTTTTAAAGTTAATATATTAATTTTTAAACATCCATCAAGAATATTTGTATCTTTGTATAATCGACAATTACAATCATTACATGAAATAACACGACCTGCATCACTGATGTTTAGTCCACCACAACCTTGACATGCATAATTATTATCGTTTTTTTCGATAGATATGATTCGTCCCTTTTCTATATGAGATCGATTTATAGTACTATCAACTTCGTTGACTACATTTTCTAATTCATCAATTTTTATGAATCTAATAAATGAATACAGAAATTTTATGTACTATAATGTTTTTTAGTGAATCACATACGATGTATCCGTAGTTGCAACTAAAGATAGTTGATCATTGTACACTCGTACTTTTAATAAACGAATATGATATGACTGGTTCAATAGTATTTGATCAAAATGAGATTGCCAAATAGTCATTTCCAATGCACCGCTGGCGTCACCAACTACAACTTTTCTTTTCATTTTTTGAATACGTTTAAATTGATTTTCTTCGAAAACAACCGGAATATCTTCACTAATATCGCATATTTTCACTTGCACTGTGCATAATCGATCATTTATTTCATTTTTTAAATCATAAATTTTTTTTACACGAATACAATTAGGTCGAAAATTTAAATCTTTTTCGATCAATTTTGTAGACGGGGTACATGTGTATTGTTCATTTTGCTCACGTAAGCTGCTAATTGATGCTCCTTGACCACTTTTGAGAGATTCTTTTAATCGATTGTATAAAGAACAACAAGGAAATTTTGACAAATGCTTTATAACACGTACTGTAGATTGATCTTCTAAACAAATGATAAACGAATAATGATGATTATCATTTCCATTGTTTTTTGTTATTGTACCAATGTGAATAATATACCCATCTAACGTAACTAGATTTCTAGATGGCAATATATCATTTTTCTCGGAAAGTGTACGTTTCATAGTAGTAAAATTTTTGGATAGTTAATTAAAAGAAACCAAAACAACTCAAGAAAACTGAATAATTTGAATAAAACCTTAGCGCGTTTTTACAATTACGTCATTTCAATCAAATGTATTTTTTAAGTAGAAGTCAATAAATGATAAGATAAATGTTTCTGCTTCTGTTTTTAATGCCCTGCGAAGCAGGAGCATTTATGTAGTCCGTCGCGAGTTTACTTTTTTTTTTTTTTTTTTTTTTTTTCTTTTACTTTCTCGACGTACGCACTTCAAATCGTTATTTTGTGACGCGATGATCTCAAGAACGGAAAGTCGGAAAACTTTCGTTGAAACGACAAGTGAAAGTATCGACACTGAATATGGAACATCTTTTTTCAAATCATGTTTGCGACGTTCGGTGCTCTCACAAATCGAGTTCCAAAAACACGATTTTGACAAAATTTTGCATTGAGATAATTAAAATGAAAACATAAACAAACGTTAGGCGCCATTCATGATGTTGAAATACAAGACAGCTGACAATTCAGCTGATTATAGACAATTAATCACGTATATTACGCATAAAATCTCGTCATTTTGTGACGGGATGATCTCGAGAACCAAAGATCACAAATTAATCGTTAAAACGAAACATGGTAGTATCATGATCGAACGCGTGTCATGTTTTTCCAATCTTTCATACAGTCTTTCGTTCGCACAAAAATACCGTTCCAAAAACACGATTTTGACAAAATTTTGCATTGAGATAATTAAAACGAAAAGAGAAAGAGAAGTTAGGCGCCATATTTTTCTTTTTGAATATATGACAGCTGTGATACAGCTGATTACAGATAATGAATCACTGAGATAATTAATTGATCAATAAAAAACAATTTGTAGAAATTTGTCGATACGCTTTCGTGGAGTTTCTGTAGTGATGATTTTTATAATGGGCACATTTCGTTTTAAATCTAGATGAAATCTGCTGTTTGATACAGATGATTTTTTTATCGATTGTACCTTACTGAGAAACATCCTGCAGTATCGTAGAACGTTGACACAGATTGAGAGAATTCGCACCGATTATACGTATGCGGATTATTCGATATCGATTCGACATTCTTTTCTCGAATTCTTGATGCGTGTGCTTCACATCGCATTTCGTATTCGAAGCGAAGCTCGAATATCATCTCGTTAGAACAGTTCTTGGATTTCTTTTCGAAATGTATTGTTTCGATGCTCCTTCCGTGCTTCGCAGGGCATTTCGTAGTTGAGCGAAGCTCGACTACCATCTAGTTTTGTTTATGTCGTCATTATTGTGACGAACTGTAACGGCGCATATCTATATCAATTTGTAAAATGCAATATTCCGTCATTTGCAGATTTATATTCGTGTCTGTTTTTTTTACATTGTCGTATTGAGTAGAGAAAGCGATAATGCAAGAGAGAAAAATAACAAAGACAGAACGTTTGCATAGTAAACCATGAGAAAGAATCAGAAGATCAAGGCACCCACACATGAATAGACCGAGCAAGAACGACAGCATACATGAAATGAATTGTAATGATCAATGATTGTTATAGTTATCTATAATTTTTTGATGAATGTTTTAGAATTTTTGAATACTACAATATAAAAAAAAACTAGAGAAGCTTGAATCATGTAATCAACGTGTGTTTAAATTAAACAATCATACATATTTTATGTCGTCAATGAAAAAAAGAACATTAATTCTAGTTAGCTAACAAGAGGCAATTGCTTTGATTTATTTTTTTTCGGTTTCATGTTATTTGTGAAAGGACATATACTTTCATATTTAGGTAATAAGCTGAAACTGAAAATCTTATGAAATTAATTTTTTTCATAACAATTGCAGTCAAAATAAAAGGGTTCCGTGGCTGTCAATTTTTTTTCGTATCTAAATTTTTCATTTGTTGTGAGTGATTGTAACAACCATGTCTTAACTCATTTATTCTAGTGGAGTGTGTTATTCACGAAAATATGATTCAATGAAGTATATACGTTTTCGACTTCAATTCAAGAATACTAGAAACCACGTGCTTCATAAAAATACTTCATGACTGGACTTACTTTCTGTATTTTATTTTTTTTTGAATGTTTTACTAGTTGCGCTCTACTGCTATTCATCTAATCTTCTATGTCAAATTCATTGAAGATGTTGAAGCCAACCATCATAAAAGTTTTATGATCAACATTATTAAAATAGTTGATCAATCAAGAAACAACAGTTAAGCTGCTTATAAAACATATTTGCAAAAGAGTCAATAGTAGTGTTATTCAGTTGCATTGAAAAACATATAGCGATTTATAAAGTGAAGTGTAATTAATGATGCATTAAACGAAAAAAATGTAGTTCAGCGATTTTAGTAAGTAAGATCTAGTTAAGACTGAATGATTGTGCCTTTGACGAATACATAAGGGAAAGAGATTTTTGCTTGTTGGATTGCATATCTTATATTTTTCATCAGCAGCTGAAGTAAAGACTCGATTTAATTTGTATTCGATTTTCTTGTCCATGATAAATAAAAAATATTAATTAAAACGTAAGAAAATTCGTGAAGTGTTATATTTTTATCTAAAATACTTTTACATATTTTCAACTGAAACCTATACTCTATTTAATGTAAAATTGATGCTTAAGTTATTAGATCAAAAGTTGTGTTCTATTCTACTTATTAGAAATTGAAATTTATTTGTAGTCAATATTTGCAATTCTGTTAAATTTTGTTTTGATAAGTTAAAAAACGTTTCTTTTGTTTGCATTGTTTATGTTATCTGTTAAATATTAAGTATAGCCGTAGAAAGGTCTTTTTTTAGAAGCTATATATTTTTAATATATACACGGTAACGAAAAAGTATGTATTAAGAAAAAAATTCACATCATGCACATTGAACGATTTTTATAAAACATGTTATTGTAACTAATACTATTTTGTAATGCAAAAGAATTCGATTTTTCTAGTTAAAAAGAATTGATAGTAGCAAAATGTAATAAGATTTGTTCCAGTGAGTTCGTTTTCTAAGTTTGGTATGATTGAAGAAACAACATGCTGACAATTTAAAGCAGAGTTGGATGCATGTTAATTTTTGAACGATATAAAATACATATGATAATAAAAAGTCTGAAACTACACCACAATATTGAAATTGTATTTTATAGTATAATTTTATTTACCCCTGATGGCGCTAAATTGAGAACAACAGTTTAACATAATTATATATACGTTTAAAGCAATATTTTGTTATAACGATTTTATTGTTTGATAATTCTGTTGAATTAGTTTTGTTTTACTACTGATCAAGGTATCCTTAAAGTAAGTGCCAACTATTAAACGATGAATTTAATATATTTATATACATATATCATAGTTTTTTGTTACAAAGTGTAAGAAATGAATATAACATCAAAGAGCTTTCAAGAATTCATGAAACAGCAAGCAACAACAGACATGTCATTAAAGTGCATTGAATTATGTAGACAGTATCCAAATCTATTTCAATTTAATAATGGTGTATTGATGATGTGTAATTCGTCTAACAAATGGTCGTCATTTATACAAAGTCGTTTCAGTTCAGAAAGTATCAAGCAAGCAACAAAATTTTTTCATTTAGCCGAATATGAGGTTTTTTCTCGGCTTATTTCGTACAATGCACCTATGTATTCAACAAATCAACCGATGATTGATATTTTCAAAAATAAACATCTATTGATACCAAGAGAATTGGATGGTTTGGAATTGCAATTATTCCATATCAACTTAGTATCAAATCAATTAGTTACATTTGTTAAATCATCTGATCAATTTCTCAATAACTTGGATCATCGTTTTTTCTTCTATTGGTATGTTCATTAATTAAACTTGGGCAATGTATGAGAACTTTTTTATTGTTAGTAGTTGATTAAAATTTTTTTGATTAATAAATAATAATTCATAATATTGATAATAACACTAAGTAAAAATAGTTTATTGCCGGAGAAAGAAAAGAAAACATATGTAATTTAAAAATAGAATTTAAATGATTATGAAATTCAGTTTTCGTTTTTATTAGAAAAATAACATATTATGTATTAAAGCTTAACATTGTATTTTAGTTATACATTTTTTCTTCAATAATATGTTGATTATATAGTTTTTAGAAGCTTTTCTCTGCAAGTAGATCGATTAGTGTCATCAGTCACGATAAGATATAGCGAATAAAAAAGATATTAGAGATTTTGAGAGTTATGAAAATATACGGGGTGCCATCATTTGAGTACCATGAGGCTCTGCAATATATTTGATAGTGTTAATATGTCCAGTATCAAGTATATCTATATATCTTCTATGTTAGTAATTGAGTAAATTTCACAGAATGTCTTTAATAAACAATACAAATATATTTTAGCTGGTATCATCTTATCGATTATTCAAAGTTTCATATTGCTGGTGGATCTCTGCTAACATGTCTTCTCGAAAATGCTCCTGTATCAATTGGTCAAGATATTGATTTATTTTATAAAGGGATTTCGTACAATGATTTTTTAAAATCAGTTGTAAGTTGAACTTCTTTTATTATACATAGAATATTTTACCATTATATTAGACTGAAACAGAAGAAAAAATACGATATTATTTTTACATAAAACGAGTCAACAATAATTCGAATAAATTAATTAATGTACGTTTATTTATTAATGGAACAATTAAAAGCCTTCTTCAACAGCCACAATTTATCGATCTTCAATTTATTTTTATTAAACCAAATTATACACCAGATCAATTGTTAACTAATTTTGATATTGATGTTACACAATTATCATTTAATGGTGAAAATTTACAAGGTACAACGGCAGCTATACAAGCCATACGAACATCAACTATTATACATTATGGTCTAAATAATGATGATAAAGATTATGCACCGATGGCTACTCGTATCAGTAAATATGTGAGGTATGGTTTTAAGCTTCTAACACCATGTGATTTCAATGTCAAACGATTTGAAGTTTCACCAACATATATTAGTAATCGAGGCATTCAACTCCACATACAACAAAACGATCCAAATCAGGATCAAGGTTATTCAGAATTATCATATAGTGAATACAATTATATCAATCAATCTGGTAGTTCTAGTTTAGTTTTTAGTAAAAATTATGATTGTTTTAACCTGCAGAAGAATTTTATTTTAAAGGTTTTATGTAACAATCAATGAAAAAAATAAGAAAAAAAATAAAACATATATTATATAAAGCAAATTAGTCTATTAATACAATATAATAAATTTTGTTTAGATAGCAGATATTAAAATGAATACAATAATTGACTATTGAGATCTTTTATCGCTTTGATGTATTTTGCATACATTTCAAGAAGAAAAATTTTATCTTTATTAAATGTAAACTAGGTAAACTGGTGTTTTGATATAGTTACAAAAATTATACATTGTTAGGTTTTCTTTAATTGATGTGCTTGTCGGTTTTTTCGTCTTTGTTCTCGTATTCTACGCATATATTCCGATTGATTTGCTTCTCTTTTTCGTTTTCGATATCGACGTACACGTTTTTTGTTTAACTTGGCAAGACGTTGTTTACGCATCAACACAACTTGGTTAACTAAATGATTTAATAGCGAGCCAATACTAAGTTCTAGTTCATCTTGTTCAGTATTAGAATTATTATGTGTATCAGACATTCTGATGTAACATAAAAAAAATCAACTGATATGTAGTCAAGTTAATGGCGGATAATTAATCATAGATACCTATTTTATTTATTTTATTTATTTATATTTTTTTTTTTTTTGAATAAAAAATCATTTCCAGAAACATTTTTATTGTTATTTTAGTCTAAATCTTAAGTAGCAAAAAAAATGAAAACAAATAACATAGTGATAATTTTGTAAGTTAGTCGTGTACAAAAGAAAAAAGTTTGATATTATACCATAAATCGTGTCTTTATGTGCAAGCAATCACTAAATTGATCGATTTTATTGATATGGTTCCTCATTTTTCTAAGTTTTGAATATAGGACTTAATTTATATATTATTTCAGTGTAAAACATGCTATCAATATTAGAAGAACTTGGTTTATAATGTTTGATGTGCATTATGATTTAAAAAACAAAATTCATATTCTAATGTAAACGTAGTAATGTATTCTTATTGATGTTTGTGTGTTACAACAGTGTTTATTTGAAAAGTTGCAATTGTTTACAGCATTATTAGTGACTACTAAAGACATAATCATTAACTAATTTTACCATAGTGGTTTATATTTGATTTTATAAAAATAAGTAACTTTCAATATTAATAATTAATTGAGGACAATAAAATAGATATAATTTATAATAATGTATATGAACGATAATTTCATAATGTGTTAACAGGCGATCAAATAGGCTATTTTAAAGTATCAAATAACATAAGATCAGTGTTAAAAAATTTGTAAAAAGATTCAAATAGTTAGGATTTAATAAATAGATGAATATCACAATGTTAGATTAATGTTGTTGATATACAATTTCAAGAACTAGTTTAAAAGTAATCAAAATATTTGCTTTTAATATAAAATCTTAATTTGTTTAAAGATGTTAGAACCAACACTACTAAAAAAATATCACTATATAAGAAAACAGTTATTTGTAAGAACAGTTTTATTTGAATCCGAATATTCAACATCCTGGAAATTCAAAAACAAAACTTTTCAGTTGTATCTTTTAGGAGAATTGCTGACACAAGTCTTTATAAAAAGTTTCAATGTGTAAGTCCTTTGTATTAGATTTTTTCGTATGTCAGTTTAATTTTCTCCTTTAACAATTTTTATGTGGCGCTTACTTTATAATAAATTTTTACTCTTGCATTTGTAAACATTTCCTTTATTGAATTTGTTTTGGTTAATATCAAAATGGATTTGCACATCACGTGTAGATGGTGCGGAAAAAATATCGATCAATTTTTGGAAAAATTTGAAGATTCTTTATGTTCTTTAACATGTAATGATTATTATCATCTTGATTTGTATATCATGCACATAATTCAAACTCTAAATTTTAATACTTGTGATACAGAAATTGGTGAACAATGGAGTAATTTATTCAATCTTTTGTTTAAAAATAACTTGTGTCTTTATGCTCATCGACGAGACGATATTGGTTTCGAACTTGGTTGGTTATATAATCTTTATGTGTTGTATGCAAAAAATAAGTTGAATTCTATTAAAACTACTGTTGTATTTGAACATTTATATAATCTTGTTTATTTTTTGCATAAAACGACACGTTAATTAATAAATTTATTTGAAAAATAAAAGTATGAAATATAATGACAACATGCGAGAAATTTTAAGAAGTGTGGTAAAGTATCATTTCTATTATAGTCATGAGAATTGCTGACAAAAAAAAAAGTTTTTAAACTTTAACGTGATTTAATAATGAATGGATTAAAGTATATGTAACTTTTTTTAATTCAAAATAAAAGATTATTTTCATGGAATTCTGATTTCTTAATTGAGAAATATAACGACGATTATTGTTGAAATTATTTACTTGAAAGCAAAAACGATTAGTGAGAAACATATAAGAAAATAAAGCTGTAAAATTTCCGTAGAAATATTTCAGTGTAACACGCAGTTTTTTTCATACCTTTGGACAATGGAAATGGAAAATTATAAGCAATGAAAACTATTAGCCAGCAACAACAGATGCTTCAGCAAGGATAAAACAATTCATGATGGTTATAATTAATTGAAATAATCTTCAAATAAATCTCATTGATTTTAATTTTATACATTAGAGAAAAATTTTGTAAAAACAGTAGGATAATATATTTTGCACTTCTATTCTAATATGCTGATATTATTAAAAGTTCATCTAATCTAAAACTTTGTACTAATATCATTGACAGATAAATTCATATAAGAAAATACTATGTTTATTAAATATGTGTCACAGACTTTTTGTCAACTAGTTCTGTATCTCAAAAGATATTTGGTTTAAAATACACATTTTCATGTCTAATAAGAATGCATACTTAAAACTATCCAAATCTTCTTCAATATTAAAAGAAATCAGATCGTAAAGTACGAAGTTGCAATGTGTTCTCTAATATATTATCAAAACTCAATATGTTCGCAAACAAAAATAATTGCATTTATTAAATCAAGCTCATTTCTATACAACGATTTGTTCTTAACACATTGTTTTCAATATGATTAAAGGTTCTCAAAATGTTGAAAATATTCATCGACATTGTTTTTGCTATCGATAAAAATTTGATTGATGATATGATAAAAGATTAAACTACAATCGAACAATTGTGACGTGTATGAATGTCAACTATTCAAGTTACGCATTATATAGAGTTGGTAAACCACATTGTAAATAGTTTGTCATACGTTAAATAGTTCTCTATTAGAAAAATTGTAAAATTTAATCTTTAATAAAGACTCAGAAACTAATGTTACAAAATAAAGATAAAAAATACAATTTATAAAATATACATGAGAGAATATTTATTTTAACAATTGGTAGCCTGGATGTTTATTAATGTACTAAATATAAAATCATGCATAACAGGCTATATTCAAAAGATAGCTTACTTATAGACATAATAGTAAATACATACAACTAGTAACATTTAAACAATATAAATTAAATATCGGTGAGAAGCTACCACGACGGAGAAAAAACCTCTATTGAACCAAAAATAGATGAATGGAAAATTCCAAAAACTAAGATACACCGATGTAGAGAACACAACTCTGCACATGGGTGGCTTGTCCTCAGTAAACGATTTTTCCTATATCACTACACTTGCATTTTCTCGTTTGCCACAAATTCACGAACCTCATGTTCATTGAAAGAAAAACACGCGACTCTTCACATTTTGCACACTTTTCTTGGCAAAATGCACATGATATATTTTTGGACTCCCACTTCGTAACAAAATTCCTTTTTTTCCTCGACAGCGATAGCGAATGATCAGAACCACACCCACCAGTGTGAGAGAAAATCAGTGACGTTGGTCTCACATGATGCTCATTCAGATTGAACAATAATTTCATTCACTTTTTCTGACTGGATGAGTATTGTCGAAACATTGAATAACATCAATTCGATACAGAATGCAATTGTGATTCTTCTGCATCAGATCTGATTGGCCGCTGATGATTTCGCTTCGAGAATAAATAAAAGGCTTTTCCCAAATTACCATATACCATGGTTACTCATGATTATCGCAAGACAAAATTTTTTTTAACAAAAAAAAAGTTTCTTATCTCAGTTGGATATCAATCTATCGAGAATTTATATTCTGAATCTTCTCCGCCGATATCTGATTTGCTGATGATAATTACGTTTTGAGACAGGAAGAAAAGTTGCTTATATTGGAATGGTGGATTAGATTTGTCTCATAGTTTGAAGTGTCGCTGAATGTGTCTTTTTTGTGTGGAAGTGTGATTCGTTAGTAAAAGTTATGTAAGTGTCATATGTTAGAACAATCAGCGTAATATTCAATGTTTGAGAAAGTTGATCGTTCAGCTTTTGGAAGATGGAATTCCTTGATTATAGGTAGGGTACGCTTTGAATTGAGTGCCACAACGATATTTTAAATTAATGAATATGGTTCGTTAGATTAGGCATTGAATCGATTTAGGTTACGGTGAGTAGCGTTAAATTATGCGTTTCATGGGTTCTATGTACCTTGGTAAGTAACGATAAATCTATGGTAAAATATCGATTGCTTGTGGTATTTTGCGGATGACAGGGTATTGGTTTGAATTAGTTTGAATCTAATTGTGCGTCGGGCTAGCTTCTCATCGATAACTGAAATGAAGAGAAAAATATTTTGACATGTTGTTATAATTACAATTGATATGAGATAATATGTTATTCTTCAATGAGCTGAGTAATTTTTTTTTAAATTATTTTTGTTTTGAATGTTAGTAGCTTGTTATAAAATTAATTAAGTTTTAATATATAAATATCTGTTTAATTGCATTGTTTCAACACATACGTAATTTTATTTGAAAGTAACAAGCAGTCTTATCTAACTAATATTGTAGAGAAGAATTATAATTACTATTGACGAACAAATTACTGGATGATTAATACAGAGCAAATTTCTTTGCAGACAATGAAGGCAAACGTATCATTTTTAATATGACACCCATTCAATTATGCTTTTTTTTTACCTTCTTTGATAAAAAATACGTTGCTCGGAAATCTAAATGACTTTGCACATGTTGTTATCTCGTACATGAGTGTGATATTCCTTTATTTTATCGTGTGCTATTATTCTAAATTAATTCATATTTTTTTCAATGAAAATATTTTCCGTACATGTAGATATTTTACTTCTCTTTTTTTCAACCTGAAGTTTTGCTCAATTTTTTGATCGAATTAATATTTATTGAATAAAATAAAATAATAGCAGCATAGGTTGACTCTAAGTAAACAGTATTTTTTTTTCCAGAAGAAAGTGATTATTGTTGTCAATAATATTTGTTTACATAGTTCTTTTTACAAATTTTTTAAGGCTACTATCATATGTTATATAGCAGGCATCTATGAAATATTTGTTGTGTGTTAAAAATTTCGATTAATGCCTTGATAAAAATCGATCATATTATTTTCTACCCAGTCTATCAAATTTTAAATGGTACATGGAGAAAATTAACAATGCTATAATTTATTACCTATTCAAAAGTGCAATAGTAATATCATCCTATATATTAAAATATTTTACAATAAAGTATATTTACCGTGTTCAAAATAGAAATATCAAATATTTTTCAAAAGTACAGATGACAAAGTTTTCACATTTTTTAATTTGACGCATTGTTTTTTTCTATATAAAGTTACTATTTATCTTTGGTAACTTAAAACAAAAAACTTATTAAATAGATTTAGGATCAAAATTTTAGTTTCATATCCAAGCATTCACTTTTATAGGTAAATATCACTTAGTGCCTGTATAAGTTTCCGATTTCGCATGAAAATACAAAGATTTGTAAGTTAAACTGTCAATGATTTTTGATGAAATCGAATTAAGCGCTTCTTTATTGAGAAAAAAAAAGCTTTTACATTATGTTACAAATATATAATATATGTCAAAAATATAGTTAAAACAAATATTGAGTGCTATGTGATAAAAAATTCTTATTTTGTTTCTTGTTTCTTTTGTTACATTAAATAACGTTACAAAGACAAATATCAATCAGTGTCATGATTACTTAAACGATGTCGCATGCAATAAACAAAAAATCTGATTCTGATTCCGAAGGATCTAATATTTCTGAACCTGAAACAATCGAATCATCAAAAATTAAGAAACGCAATCGGAATTCGAAGCCTTCACAAAAAAAGAAAAAGAATAGGAATTCAAAACTCTCGAAAACAACGAAAACAAATAGAAACTCGAAACTTTCACAAAGAAACAAAAAAAATAGAAATACAAAGCCTTCAAAAAAAAATAAAAGCAATAGATATACAAAATCATCAGCTGAAAAACGACACAACCGTAAACACGAAAAATTGGGTAAAAGCAAAATTGCATGTACAACAGGGTCGGACGCATGGAGTTTTCATCCATCCATGGAAGAACAATTAGAATGTTCAGAAATACATCATTTTTTAAAAGAAAGGTTTTTGTCTTCGTAATTCAACTTTTCTCATTTTTGAAAAATTATTTCCTAGATACTTTTCTACAATTCTTCAACGCTGGCTGTCATGTACTTGTTGTACATCATTATATCCTGAGAGTCAATTAGGAATTGCTTCCAGAGAACATGAATTATATCATGATGTAGTTCAAGGAAAATTGTTATGCAGAAAATGTATTGAATTCAAAACATCAAATAATAACTCATATTGTCCTTATGCACGTTATAAAAACAAATTAGAAATTGCTTTGGCTCCAGAGGATTTAAACTTGGGTTTCATAGAACAACGAGCAATTGCATTAACACATATTTACATGAGTATTATTTTAATTCGTGGTCGTCAAGCTGCATCAAAAGGACAAATAGTACATTTTCATGTTGATAAAGATGTAATTGTTGATGAAATATTGCCATTTCCACGATGTTATGAGTTCATGGCTGTTGTACAAGAGAAACCAATTAGAAATAATGAGATTCGTACAACTGTTAGTTATTCATTTAGTCCAGTGCAAGTTTTGAAAGCATTAAAATATTTAAAAAAACATAATCATTTATATTCAGATAAAAAATTAATGACAATGGAAGAAATTGAAGAATGCTTTAAATGTCGTGACGAAGATATTATACCAATTAGAATCATTGATAGTTATGCTTACAATAATTGTACTACGATTACACCAATTATTGATTCATTACAAACTTTATGTGGACCTAAGTAATAATATTTCTGAAATAAATATTTTTAATGAAAAGCTTTAGACGACTAATTTCATGTGCTGCAAATCCAATATGGGAAATTGAACCTTATTTAGAAGAAAAATCATATCCATGGTTATATCCAGAAGGAAAAGGAGGTGAAGCAGATCCCGAACGACCTTTGCAAATAAGCATACGAGATTATTATAAACAACGATTGAAGTCTTCTGACAATCGATGGCAAAAGGATCCGACTTGGATTTTTCGTGCACTTAATTTATTACAAAGACAAGATTTATGTCGATCAGTAAATTACCATGCCAAAAAAAAATATCAACATGGAAAATTGTGTTACCAAATTTATCCCGGTAAATTTCAACTGCATAATATAATAATAATTATGTCAATACTAAGATTTCTATATATAATTTTAAAACATCACTCTTTAAAAACTTTTACATACTAGATATAGGCATGGTTATTCGTGGTTCTTCAGCATTTTGGGAAAAAGCAAGACGTCATCTTAGAGCTATGTATGCAACATTAGGAAAACCTTTTATTTTTCTTTCAATTAATTTACAAGACGATGTTGAATTTTTAACTAATATTGATCCTGATAAATTTGGTTCAACGAATAATCCTAATTTTCAAGCTATTGATTCTTTATCTGATGATGAATATCTTATGTTAGTCAATCAAAATGCAGCACTTGTTGCAAGAATGTGTAAACGTCGAATAGCAGCTTTCGAAGAATATATTAATGACAAGAAATATCCATTTCTTATTGATTATGTTGTTTCTCACTATTTTTTCAAAATTGAATTTCAACGAGATGGATTACCTCATCTACATACTTTATTATGGGTTGAAAACCCTCCTTCTACAGAAACAACTGAAGGAAGACAAGCAATACTCAATTTTGTTGATAAATTTCTTACTACTGAATTACCAGATCCGAATGCTGAACCACACCTTTACAAATTAGTTCGAAAAAAGCAATGGCATGCACACACATTCACATGTAGTAAAAGTAAGAGCAAAGGCAAATCGTATGCTTTTAAATAAATGAATATTATATTAGATAAACCAATTATAAGAAGACGAAGAGAAAGAAAACAATTAACATCTGAACTGAATGATAAAACACAAGATAACTTACATCATATGTATAGCATTAATCGAAGTAATGAAGAGGAAATATATGAAAAAGTAGACCCAGAAAACGATCCTGATTTACTTCGAATGAAGGTTGAAAGACGAGAGTTCTTCGAGCGAGCTAGATGTCGATTTGGCAAACCTGATCCATTAGCTGCTAACACACATTTTCGTACTCACAATGAATCTAGAATATTGACACGTGGTGATCGTGATATTATCATGAAAAGAACAACAGAAGAAGTAATCCTTTTTATTGATATAAAACTAAATGTAAGTGAATTGATCATTATTAGTCTCGTAGAATCGTTCCATACAATATTAATTTGCTTAAAACATTTAAATGTAACCATGATGTGCAAATTGTAACTGATCCTTGGGCAGCGGCTGAGTATCTGTTTTCTTATATTAGTAAAGAAGCTCATATGGAAAAGGATCTCGTACAAAAATTAGCTGGATGTACATGTTCAACTGTTGAAGAAGCGAGAAAAGTTTTGTTAAAAGCAGGCAATGCTGTATTATCACATAGACAGATTGGAAAAGTAGAAGCTGTATGGTTGATTTTAGGTAATTAACTTCTTCGTAGTATTTTTAATAATTCTATACAATAAAAAGGTATACCCTTGTATCGATGTTCGATGGCTACTACTCATTTATATATATCTTTACCATCTTACGAAGATCGTATACTAAAGAACGTTAATTTTAATATCGATTGTATTACTGAAGATGATTTTGTTACAACAATAATTCATCGATATTCACAAAGACCTTCAATACCAGAAGTTATTAATAATCTAACTTTATTCGAGTTTGCAGTTTGGTTTTCAACCGATTATAGTGATTCAACACATGAAGATGATCAAAACGATTCATTCACAATTAATCCATTATGGCGAAGTAGTTATGATGAACCGCCATTATTGAAAATGTCTAGACGGCTACCACGTATTAAACTAGCATCTGATCAAAAAATGCGTCAACATGAAAATCCTAAATGTGTGACATTTACTTGTCTTCATGATGATACTGCACAATGTATTTATAGTATTTTATGTTTAAATATTCCATTTCGAGATGCAGTACAAGAATTTCTAGGTGGTCAACAAGGTTTGAAAATTATCTTTCTTTTTTTTCTCAATTGAAACTTACATTGATAATTTTCGTCGTAGAACCACAGTTATTTGATCTACACCAAGTACTTCTAAAACACAAAATGCAAATATCTGCACAAATTTTAACATTACCTGAAACATATCGCATTCAACTAAAAAATGTTTTAGATCATTTGATAAATATTGATAAACAAAATTATAGAATAAATCATCGTGAATCTTATATATTTACAAATCCAACAGAAAATGAAGATGATACAATTTATAATTCGTCAAAACAAACTAATCTCGAACAATCATTAGTATATAAAGAAGGAAATTTGTTTGAAAATATCGATACTACTACATTAATTCCATCACAAGCATTGATAGCTATTCGAAACACAGAGAATGCTCAACAGAAATATCTTCTTGATTTTATTCAAGCATATTTAGATCACTCACTAAAATACTCTAGACGACCAAGTCATGTAGCAAAACCGAAACCATTTCATATTGTTGTCAATGGCCTGGCAGGATCTGGTAAATCTTATGTTATTTCTATAATTGAAAAGATGCTTCATGAATATTGCATTTCGGAATCTGCTGGAGTTTCGCGTCCTCATAAAAATTTTGGTTTGCTTAAAATGGCTCATACTGGAAAGGCAGCGTTAAATATTCATGGATCTACAATACATTCTGCTCTTGAAATTGTAAATATGGTTACTAGTAGTTATTAATACGTAATTTAATTGCTTTTCTACATTTAGTGTCCTGATGGTAGTTCATCGCCAAATAAACTAAACTCTTATAAACTTCATACGTTAAGAAATCGATTGAATGGGTTAATAATGATTATCATAGATGAGATTTCTCTTGTTTCACATGCATTATTTCAAAAAATTAACAAACGTCTAAATGAAATATTTCGTACATCAGACAAAAGCGATGTGTATTTTGGTGGTATTCCTATCATTGTATTCGGTGATATGGCTCAAATTGAACCAGTTGCAGCTAAACAAGTATTTTATCGTCCATTAGGTGAATTATTTTCTCTCTGGCATGATTTGTTTCGACCTATAAATTTTGACATCAACATGAGACAAGGAAATGATCGCATTTTTTTTGATTGTTTGTGTCGAATGCGAATGGGTATCGTACACTTTATTTTAATATTCTAGTTAGAGACCACTTACGGTTTAGGTTATTTGGACGAAAAAACTGAAACTTTGATTAAATCCAGAAGTATACGACAACAAGATAATCCTGAAGGCTATCAAGAGCGATTGAAAGAACTGCATTCATCAGAATTTCAAGATGCTATTTATGCTTATGGAGTTCGTAAATTGACAAATTTAAAAAATATAGAAAAACTAAAGAAACATGCATCTGATACTAAAAATCCTATTTTTATGGTTAATGCTTTGGATGTAACATTTGCTTCTTTTTTTATACTAATCTAAAATAAAGATATATTCATTCCTTAGAGAGTAGCCATGATTAATACACCTTTCTTCAAATCTAGCAAAACAAGTCATAGAACGTGCAAAATTAACCTTAAGCCTTCATCTGATGAAAATGAATGTGGTTCATTGTATCAACGCTTGCCTATTTGTGTTGGTGCACGCGTTCTTATAAGACGGAACATTGATCAAGACAATCATGTTGTTAATGGAACTGATGCTATAATAAAAGAGATAGTGTGGGAAGATTCCACAGATTTTCTTTCACCACCAACAACATCGGATGATATATTTTCTGAATTGCCAAATGTCATTAATACAAAACTGCCTAAATATGTAGAGCTAGGTAAAATTTTACAAGTTCAGATAATGAAATATTGAAATTAAAAATGAGTCTTTAGAACTTTTCAATGGTCAGACGTATAAATTAGAACCACAAGAAACACGATTTAATGATACAAACAATATTAACATGACTCGTTTGCAATTACCACTTGCTCTTGGATATGCCATAACTATACATAGAACTCAATGTATGACATATTCAAAATTAGTTATTGATCTTGGTGGTAAATATTGGAAACCTGGCATGTTTTACACAGTTCTTAGCAGAACCCGTCATATTACAGATATTATAATATTAGCGTATGATCGGAAATCTTTTAAAGTATATAATTTTACATATCTTTATTTCAATATCATATATATGTGTTCATTTAGATTTCAACAGAGGGTTTGAAGGAGATTGAACGTTTACAAAGAATAGAAAGAGAAAATCCTATTAAAATCGATGATTATTTAGACGAAATAGTAAGAAAAATTTTATTTCATATGTAAATTAACACTTTATCATTTCAAATACAGAATCATGTGCATGATTCAAATACCAGTTATACATGTAATATGAATAACAGAATTACAACAAATGAGATATTACAATATGCATCAAAACATGCTAGTAAACGAACGAAACTTACTGATAGTATTTATTTTACAGATAATCATAATCATATCGATAATATTATTACACCTGAAGATGTTATACTTTGTGAAGAACAGAAACTTTTGTTTTGTGGTCGTCATGCTCTGAGAGCACTTCTACAAAATGTAGAAATATTCGACGATACATATTTAATTGAAATAGCCAAAGACCTTGCAACACAAGAAATAATACTTCGCGAAGATATGCATACATGTCAATCAACTTATTTCGATCGTGTCAATGGTTATTATCACATTGACGTTATTCAGTACGCTCTTAAACAACAATGTAATATTGAACTTGTAAGATTAAATAATTTCAATGAAGCTTCGGACGAGCATTACAACTTAATAATAAATCATATTCATGATGTGCAAGCATTGTTTATTTGTCAAGATGATCATTATTTTTGTGTACGAAGGTTCGATAACACTATCGAACATTTCTTTATCATTGATTCTCTGTCACATGAGAAACATAAAACTATAAGACGTAATAATATTAACGATTATATTAACTATTTAGCTAAATCCAAAGCTACAATATATGTACCGGTATCTGCTGATATTCTACAAATGCAAAACATTTCATCTGATTTATTATTTTCATTGATCCATCCATTACCAATATGTCTAGCAGACGAACTTCTTTTGAATGTCGATCATACTACAAATTTTGTTTTTTAATTAACAGTATATCGGTATGTTTAAATTATGAATAGAAAACGTTCATTACATTTATGTTCATAGTATTAATGAAATCAATATTTCATTCATATAAAGATTTTTAATTATAAAATTAAAAAACTATCTTTCTATTAAAAAATGCATTATCATATTCTTTGATTCATAATATTATTAGACACATCCATTGAATGTTTTTTTTTGTTATTTAATTACATACACTTATTTTATTATATATTATATCTATTTAAAAACTCTTTAAAATATGATACACATAAGAATGCATTGTATTGTTACATTAGCATTTGAATAATCTGCAAATTGAATACTTTAATTTTAAATAGTTTGTAATATATTATAATAATTCGTTACAAACAACTTTTTCAATGTATACCAAATTTGAACATATTTCAATTTAAAAGCTATTTCATATGTAATTAAAATTATTTAAGTGTTTAAGTTCCATTTTCATTGTGTATATTATGTTACCTCGTATGTTACTATATATACACCTTTAAAATATTGATGGCATAGCTATATGATTTAATGATGAACGTTGAGAGTGATATTGCTATTACTTAGAAGCCAATTACTAATATTGATCATGATTATTTATTACAAATATGACAATTAATGAACTACCCATTAAAATATTATATTTTTTTTTAGAACACTGATACACGAAATATAGAAGACACTTAGCTTCATATTAATTAACATTTGTAATATGTTTCTGTTTTATTTTGTTGGTAATATATTCTTACTGTATCAGTGCATTTTTAAAACAAACAATGCCGCAACGAAACATGTGAGCTATGTGTTAGAAATGCTAATCTTTTTAATTTTTAATATCAAAATAAGATACATACTTTTTGTTTCGATTATAATATTACAAAACATTGTAGAATCTGTCTCTTTTTAGTAAAAAATACCTTTCAAATGTGATTTAATGAACTTTTCCAAGTTAAACATAAGAAAAAAAAACGCTACTGTCAAGCTCATAAAAATAACATATTCACAAAGAATATTCAGCTACTTTAGTCGTGTTGTTTACTATAATTAAGTTTTGTCAATTGTTTTCCTGTTTTTCATAGCTTCATTCTTATGAAATCAAATTGATCACAAATCTTATTCTTGGAAGTTAGCACTGACCCTAACAATGAATTATTAATGTTTTTACTTTTTTTTCTGATTCTGTAGAATTAAAAATATAAAATAATTGTAAAGACTTATTGCTTCGTTTTGGATTGTCTTAAAAATGTAAAGCATTTTATATACATAAAACAATAGTAAATTTACTACTTGTAGCTGTAATACATTTTCGAAAGAGTCTTATCGGAGTCTATGACATAACTTTCTATCAAAAATTTCATTAATTTTACATTTTGATGCTGAATTTAAAAAAATATATATGATCTTCACAAATGAAATGGAATTCTCTCTTGTAATTCTTATAAATCATGCATTGATCCTGATAATATATACTTTATAAAAAAAAAAAAATTAAATAAGTCAATATCATAAAATTTCAATAATTTTTTTTATTTAATCTTCACACCGTACACAATTTAACTACTTTTAGTTTTTCACATCTTATCAATAGGAACCTTTACAAATATTTGTACTATATTTAATGTATCGTCAAATTATTGATATACTTTTTCTTAATGTTGATATATTTTCATTAACCCAATTGTGATTTTTACACTTAATCATATGATACTAATAATAACGATTGGATATAAATTCGATTCCAATGTTTTTTGACAAACTATTAGACATTTATAATCACAATACAATGCATTTGTTTTTGTTAAGCATACCAAAACATCATAAGAAATCATCATCACATGTTTCAAAATTCTACATGTAAATAGCACCGAGTAAAACTTAATACATTAAAAATCCATAAAACCATATCTTTTTGAAACAAACTGTAGTTAAACAAAAACTGATTATGATTTCTGCTAAGAAATTCTGTTTTTGACTAATACTATATAGTATGAATTATTTCTTATTTATCTATAGGTGAAACCTGAATCATAATATTAACTCCTTTTTCTTTTAATTGTTCAAACCTACTAATTGATTATTGAAACAAACATCACCTACATTAACCAAATCAGATCACTTGTTCTCAAATTACTTTATATATGCATATCAGATCGGCTTCATATATATATATATAAAGAACTAACAATATTAGCATAGTTTATTTCAACGTTAACTTGATACGAATGAAAATGGCTTTGCAACTATTTTAATTTAGTATGGTTTTTCAAAAAAAAAAAA